ATAGAAATGAAACTCCTTTCAAAAGCTACCAGGCCACTTATCAGGCAAGGTCAACTTTCCAGAACAAAGAACTAGGGAATAAACAGACTCAAATGATCCTGAGCAGCCAAAACAGCCTAAGAGATAAAGCTCTCCCTCTGGCGTTTTACCCAAAGCCCAGAAACCTCACTTGCGGCCTATTTGCTCTTCGTTTGGAAACAATTCCAACAGCAGAGTTCTCTGTCCTCAGCTGCTTAGAAACAGCCTTTCAAAGAACAACTGGGTGTGATTGCCCAACAGGAAGGAGGAAGCAAGTCCACTGGAGTCCTGGGCCTGTGGTTACTTAGTGAAGTTTAGACAGTCCTACAGGTTAGGTAATATTCCCAGATCCTCTAAGATGTTAAGAAGGAAGCTGGGTGTGGTGACACATGCCAGTAATTCCAGCACTCAGGAGGTAGAGGCAGAAGGATAAGGAGTTCAAGGCCAGTATCAGCTACATAGTGAGTTCAAGGCTAGCCTGGATTACTTCAGACATCTAAAACAAAACATGCTGACAAGGCACGTCAGGAATTTCAGCCATTTTTCATCAAAATGCTTTCAAGTCATTTTAGCTTCACTTATGGAGGTAGAAGCAAAGGGTTCTTGTAGCAGGTAAATGGAGATGTACCATGGGCCAGTGTTCTGCGGAGCTCCAGGAGGCTTCGGAAGGACAGTGAGGCCACGTGAGGCTTCCCCCAGCGTTCAGTCTCCTCCTCCACATCCTCCTCAAATTTTATCCAGCGGGCTGTCTCCCGCCACTGAGGCTCCTGGTTTTTGTCCAACAGCAACTCATTCAGCTCCACAAACACCTTGGGGTGAGATGAGGAAAATACTGCAGGGAACAGAGCCGGAGGATTCTGGGGTCCACCTCGGGAGACGCGGCACCAGAAGGGTACATGACCATGGGCCACGGTGGATGGTGCACAGGCATGTGTGACTCACTAACCAGATATGGGTTCCCCTCATCTGTAAAATGTCTACGACGCCCACCTCTGTGGCAGTTAGAGGACTGAGTCAAGTCTGTGAACAGGATTCCTAGAGCCAAGTGGAGTCACCGTGCTAGGAAGCCATGGGCTTCTGGAGCCCGACACAGGACTGACAAAACTAATGAGTGGTGGATTATTTCTGTAATCCCAGCCCTTAGGACACTGAGGCAGAACGGCCTTGAGTCTGAAGCCAGCCTGGGCTCCACAGGGAATTCCAAGCCAGTCTAGACTACAAAATGAGACTCCATCTCTGGAAAATGACAGGGCATGGTCACCTCTCTAGGACACTGCCAGGGCGGTAGCAGGAAGAGACTTGCTGAGGGTGGGAACCATCTCTAGCTGGACAGTAGCCATCTGGATGCTGTGGGTGGAATGCGTCCCTGGACCGGACGCTTGGCACAGGTGCGATTTACTATAGTGCTATTATACCTCAATAAACACATTTTAAAAAACCATACTATGTCAAAGTTCAGAGCCCTGCAGTCTAAGATGGGTAGTGTCCCTAAATAACTAGTAACCTTGGTCAAGGAACAGACCTGGCTTATGGCTGACACCACCTGTGCTACCACCTTCACCAGCTGTCGGGAGGGTCAACTGAGCAGGTAGCTTGGGCTTTGAAAATGAAGTACTACATGCAGGAAGCCTGAAGGTTCTTCTGTATTTTCTCCTGCAGACCACTTACTGCGGCCTGCCAGCAGATGGCCATGATACACACCTCACTGAAGGCTCACCTCCTGAAGCAGTACCACACATGAGACCCTAAAGACGCGGTGGGCAGCCTTCCCTATTACGGAGGCAGCTCTGGGGCCCCATGCGCTGTGGGTCTGCCTGGTGGAAGTGGAGGTGACAGAAGACATGAAGTAGACAGATGTACCTCATGGGGCTTATGGGGGGCCCGCGGTCGCGCCCGAGGCGTGGGGCCAGGTTCTCGACCTTCCCGGGCAGCTTGTGTAGACCCTTTGGCATTCTTCCTCACCAAGTGTCGCCGTACCCCAGGAACATCCTCAAACCGGTGACCTGGGGGCACGTAGAGGGCCAGGATCAGTCTCCTCCTTTTCTTACCCTTTGTCCCACCAACAATGAGACTGATTATAGGCCCCAGCAGCACTCACTTTTCATGAGGTCAAGGTCAGCTGTGGCCAGTGTCTGGGCCTCACTCTCATCAGTAGGGACTCTGGGCAGGAGTGCCTGCTCCACCCCAGTCATACTGCCAATTCGTCTTCTCTCCTGAAGATTGTAACTTCGATGTCCAGGCTGGGCTTTGGTCAGGGGACGCCCTGCAGCACCTCCATCGTCACCTCCAGCTGTGCCACTGGCCACCGCTACCGTCTCCTCCACCAGGGTTCTGCAGAAAGAATAGCCATGAGCCCCCAAAGCCAGCCTCCTTTCCTAGGCAGAAAACCACATGTACTTCGGCCCTCCTCGCTCCCACTCTTGCAAGGTGGGCATGTAGGAAGATTGAGGATTCTGAAAGCCAACAGGCAGCATCTAAATCCCAGTTCTAGCCTTTCATGGCTGTGTACCGCCAGCATTCACCTCAAGGGTCATCTGGATATAAACCTCCCTCACAGCATGGGCAAAGGCCAGCATTCCTCGGTGTTTAAGAAGGTGAGGTTTTGGGAAAGTAACATTCAGAACCTAGCATTTATCAATATTAATAATTCCCTTGCCCTTCCAACCTGGAAATGGGCTTTGAAACTCGCCAGATACCTACCTGTTTGCGAAGGACTGAGCCTTGCCCTTCGGAGACACCAGCTCCTGCCCTTACTCCTATTCTCTGCCAATGCCAGCATCCACGCAGCCCATGACTCTGCTGTGCCGGTCTTGCCTGCTTCTCCTTTCCTTCCTCAGTGCCAGGAGTTCCTGGAGGCTCCCACCTCTTCCCCTGCCAGCCTGGCACCCAGCGAGCCTATGCGCTCACTCTCTAAAGGGGCACCATGCCCTTTATTTCCCATAGCACGTTACGCTGCCTGGTACCCAGAAAACAACAGGTCTGTGATAGTCGTAACCTTGAGATTTTGTTCAAAGTCATTTCCTCCTGGAAGCCTTCTCTGGCTAGTGCCCCCAACTCCTGTGAACCACCTGGACTGACTCTGCCTGAGCCAGGTCACTGGACATAGGGATTTTCTGCTACCACTTCACGGGGCAACATTTGCTTTCCAATTGGGTGTACTTGGCAGCTGCCAGAGACAAAGAGGGGGCCCCAGTAAGTACTGCATCCTTGGTCCAGTGCTCGAGCCAGTGCTGGGGCACGGTGCTGGGGGCAGCTCAGATTGGTAAAGCACCCTGTAATCCTCAGCAAGGCCAGTGAGCTCCATCCTGTCATCTGTCACCTCCCCAAGGAGCTGGTAAGAGGCAGGCCTGGGACCTGAACCCTAGCCTGGTTAGTTCAGGACTCCTGCTTTCTTTTCTACCTCCTCCCCACTCTAGAAAGGGGAGTGCCTACTTAGGACACTGCTGAGTACAGTGTACTTACCCTGTCTGTGCCCCTTTGGTGGCCCGGGGAGGTATCTCCTGGTAGGGCATCTGTGTAGGGGGAGATGGGCTGGTTCTCTCTGCCTTCCGTTCTGTACCTTCATCCTCTTGGAGAAAGAACTGCAACAGATACCCACATGGGAAGGTAAGACCAGGCCAGGACCCTGCAGACAGCTCCCAAGAGCCAAGGCACTACTTACCTGCACTGAAGAAGGTGTAGAGGCAGGGGATGGCTGCTGTAGGGGAACCCTGAACCCTTCAGCTTCACTGGCTTCATCCTCATCTTCCTCCCCTTCCTCGATTGTAGGGGTCTCCCCAGTGGGAGAGGCTCCAGGGCGCCTCCGAGGTTTCCGTCCTGGGCCCTGGGGAGTCTTGCGGCGGCGGGCATCGGGAGGCAGGTGGGTGGACAGTGGATGGTGGATATGGTGGGAGGACTGGCGGTGGTCTGCAGAGAGGAGGGACTTGGCGGCAGGCAGGCACAGCGCCCCCCCTCTCCTATCCTGGCCTCTCCCACTAAGACCCAGTCCATTCTCTGTTGGACAGTCTGACCTGAGCCCTCAGCCTCCCTTCCCCAGCTGGCCTCTCACATTCAAAGTCTTCCTCCCCATAGCTTCGGCCCGGCTCCTCTCCTCCTCGGGATCCAGCTTCCTGGAGGATCTCCTCGAACCGCTCCACACCTAGGGTTCGCAGTTCGTCTTCCTCTTGCTCAGGGAACCCAGGTGTTCCAGGGCCCAGGCTTTCTGGCTCTGGCTGTGAGAAGGAAGAGTGGAGAGGACACACAGGGCTCACTGGGAATTGTATGTGAAGGCCCTAACCTGCCCAGGGCTGGAGATCTAGTGACTGCGGCAACCTCTCATCTCCAACACACAAACTGACTCCCTGTGTGCAGCAACCTAACCCTTCCACCCAACGCTGGGACCTAATCCACATCCCGGCAACTATGATCTCCAACTCCCCAGCAGCTTACCCCCCTAAAAAGGGCCCAATCAATCTAGGGCAGGCCCACACTAGAAGACTCCATAAAATTCCTGGTCTGGCCCTTCTGCAACCAGGCAGAATGTGAACTTCCCTGTTACTGTGGCAGAAAAAATTCCTTTGGCTAGAGGACAATTGCTGAGCCTTAAAAGTAACTTCTGAAGGCATCTAAGCTAACTGCCTCGGAGTAGTTCTGAGTCAAACCTCTCCCTGCCTGGACAGGAATGGATACTCCTGCTTGCCCAGAAAGCCCCCATCCCCTCCATAGCAACACACATGCCCACCTAGGCAGCACTATCCTCCCCTCACAGCCAGTCAGTCAGCCCCGCCCCTCACCCCACCCCCACTCCCCCCCACCTGAGTCATCCTGCGGGAGTGCAGCAGCCGACAGCAGGCAGGGCCAGTGCAGGCCAGAACTGCAGGAAAGCTCAGCCTGGCTGAAGGACCAGCAGCCTGGCCCCCGCAAGCCCAGCAGCATTGGTCCAGCCCCCCTCCCCACCCCCCACCCCCAGCAGGTCTCAGCTCCAGGCGCCACCACCAAATATTTGCTCAAGAGCTTCGGGACCTGAAGGGCGTCAGGACCTCCAAAGGCCAGGGTATGCCACCCCTTCCATGGCAGTGCCAGCTGCTACAGCAAGGAAGAGCCAGGGAGGAGGGTCAGTCTTGGGGAGACATGCAGGGGTAGAGGTGGGGGACACAGAAAAAACCATCCAGGGCAGGCAGGGACAGGGGACTGGAGAAGGGGGTCCTGCACAGCCCATCTCTCTGCAGCTCCAGCAGACTAGCCCAAGATTTCCACCAGAAGCAGCTGGGCAGGAGGAAGCTGGTGCCAGTGAGGAAGCGGCTAGGGAGCAAGCAAGGCATCAGCTCCTGAGGAGCTTGTGGGGAGGGGGAATGGGCCATCCCCTCCAACCTGAGGCCGTAGGAGGAAGTCCATGGCGGCAGGGGTGAACCTAGAAGAAGGGGGAGGGCACCGCCAGTGTCCCTTCCCAGTCACGTGCCCCGATGGGTTAAAGTGACCAATATAATGCGGCTGATTGTGCCACCGGAGTTAATCATTAGACTTCTTAGGAAAATCAGAAGAGGGCCATGTCGGGTAGTGGCCACCTTGGGGAGGGGGGGAGGGCGGGCCTGGATGGCACGTGGGCCAGGGGCGGGGCCAGTCACTGCCGGCAAGCTCTGACTAGAACTTTTGGTGTGTAGGCCTTCTTGGGGGGGGCCCTATGCAGTTGAGATCCAGTCAGAGAGCGTAACAGGGCCTATGATCCAGGGCCCTCAAACTCCTGTCCAACTGCATCTAAACTAGCCTCAACTCCTCAAACAAATGGAGGCCGCCTGCCCCTCCCCTTTCCCGTTTCAGCATCTTCATACACTAGCAAAGTCTGGGTACGATGGCAGTGCCTCTCAATCCAACGCAGCTTCCTTTTCGTAGTTTCTGCACCCCACCCACGCCCCACTGGAGCCTGGGCCGGCTCACCTGCAGGCCGTGCTTACCGTGTGCAAAGAATCTGCGCCCGAGGCGGGGCGCCTGGGGGCGCTGCTCATGGCCAAATCTTAGCCCTTTTCGCTGTCGCTTCGGCTTTCAGGGCAACAAGGCGGAGGCATAACCTGAGTGGGGAAAAGGGCTAGTCACCATGGGTGAAGAGCAGGCTAGCCCCCAGCCCAGCTCAAGAGAGGAGAGGAGCCTCAGCTGTCTGCCACTCCAGTGTCTCCGACATACAAGACCCTTCTAGACTATGAAGACCCTCATAGTGGCCCTTCGAGGTGGCAAGAAGAGAGAGGAGGGTTACGGACAGAAGAAAAGACTAAAGAGGGGGGTTGCAGACAAGGGGCTGGCACACAGGCAGCCGGGAGAACAGGGGCAGAGGGGGGAAGAGGCCACAAAAATGAGGCAGGAAGGAGTCAAGGCCCAGCCCTGGAAAGAAAGCAGAACAGATGAGGGAGGGAATGATAAAGAACAGAAGGATCAGGCGTGAAGGGCCAGACAGGAACAAGAACCAGGGGCCCCTGGAGGTGAGCCTGAGACCAGAAAGGGGTGTGGTAGGGGAGTGAGACACCCCGCAGAGCAAGAGGGGTGTGGAGGCCGGGGTGGCTGGCTTCCCAAACAGAAAAAAAAAGAGGACCAGAAAGAACTTTGGAGAGAACCCAAAAGGGGAAAGCAGGGTGCCTGAGAGTAAGGAGGGGGTGCTCCCACAAGGCAGGCAGACCAGCAGCACCACCAGCCCTAGACACAGGACAGAAGCAGGCTCCCTAGTGCAGAGAAGGAACCCTGCTCCACTCACGCAGTAGGAGGAACGAAGGAACTGGACAGTGGGGCTTATAATGGGGGAGGGGCACGTGACATCGTCAAGGGGGTGGGCACAGAAATGCTAGGGGCAGTCTCTATCCCTCCCCTCCCTAGCCCTGGGCCAGGAAAATCTGAGTGGCAGGACAGCCCTCCTGACAGTGACTATAGGGTGTGAGCTCGGTGATGGGGGTGGAGGGAACCCAACCAGTGCTAACCGGGGTACCCGTTCCTAGTGAGGGCACCACCCAAGGCTCTCCAAAAGGTAGCGATACTAAGCTGCTGAAGGCTGCTGGGGAGTTGGGGTTGTCTGACTTAAGGCTACCTTGGCAGTGAGACAGGTTAGTATAGGGTCAAGAAATAGAGGTCTGGGGGGGATCAGCCCAGGGTGGGGAGTCTGGGCTACACATTCCTGGCAAGAACTCCAACTCAGCTGACTGCTCTTTCTACCTCCCCCCTCAGCCGGCCTTCAGCCAGGGCCCGCCAGTGTGGGGGGAGAGGTGCCAGGGAGGGGACCTGGTCTGGGAGGGGTATAGGGAATCTGTCCTCAGCACCTGCAGGTGCTCACTCACACCTCCAGGCTTTGCCCTCAAGTGTGCTCCTCCAACCAAGCCCTCCTCCCTTTACCCATGTGCCCCCACCCCTCCCCCGCTGTCGTAGAATACAAAGCAGCCTCTGTCCAGAGCATCGGTGCCGATAATCCTAGTGGGGGCACATTCCCCGAACCAGCCCTGACGGGCCCGAAGGATTATCATCTCTCCCCCAGCCCAAGGGATTAGCACTTCGGACCCCCACTTGGGCATTAACCATTCCCCAAGTGAATTCGTACATTCCACAGCTCTTGGCTGTGGGGCTGGTGGGGGCGGAGAGAGTTTGATAAAGTGGACCCAGATTTGAGGCAGCACTGCCTCCACACCCCGCAAGGAGCTCCCTACCCAGAGAAGGCAGCCCCCTAAAAATCAAACTTCAAGCTCTTCTTTCCCATCCTCACCCAGTTGCTCCCCCTTTTGTCTGACCTCTTGTCCTAACCTGACCCGCCATCCCCTTTCAGGGCTCCGCCTTCCAATCCCGAGATCCAGGGGGTTGAGGTCCCGGGCAACCCCCAAACTGGCAGGTTTCGGGGGCAGAGGGTCGTCTGGAACCCGCCCAGGAGTGGGAGAGCAAGCTGAAGGTAGCGGCTCCCCGAGACTACCCCCTCCTGGTGGCAGGGGGCGCGGCACCCTGGCTTTAGGTAACTCTTAAGAGGCGGACCCCGGAATCTCGCTTCGGAGCGGTACTCCCACTCACCTCCCCATCCTTCTCCCTAAGACCTCGCTCCCTGCGCCCCAGTCCCCGCCCTTTCCTCCACTTCCACTCCCTCGGCGCTCGAGTCTCCAGTCTCCCCCCCCCCCACTCCTTCGCGGCCCTCCCCCTCCCCCACCTATCTGCTTACCCGCTAGCTCTGGATTTCGTGTCCCGGGGGTCTCCGGGTCTCCCCTGATCCTCCGGAACCCTCGCGCGCTCCCGACGACTTCCCGGTGCCCACCCCGGGGCGCGCCCCCGCCGCTCCCAACTTCTCCCAACTCAACTTTCCCCCGCGCCGCGGGCAGGCCAGCCTCCAGCGTGCGCGCCCCCCGCAGAGCGCCGTGCGCGGCCCCGGCGCGGCTAGCTGAGAGGCGGAGAGCCGGCGCTGAGACTCCGTGGCGGGAGCGCGCTCCCAGGCACAGCCCGACACCGCCGGCGCGGCCCCCTGGCTGTTCCCCCCCACGCCCGCAAAGGCTCCGGGGACGCCCTCTTTTGGCTCTAGTGAGCCACCTCTGGGAGGAAAGGAGTCGGCTTCACGTTGGGGATCGAGGGAGAGGAGTATGGCCAGGAAATGAAGGCTCGGGGAGTTGAACTACGGATTCTCTGGCGTTAAGGCTCTTGCAGGGCTCCCGCCCAAACAACCCCACTGCCTCCAAGAAAGCAAGCCCTGGTGTCTGCCCGAGAGAACGGACGGCGCGCGAATGTGAGGGGTAATGACGCTAGAGTTGGTGACCGTGACCCTGAACTGATGGAAAGCAGGACAACTTGTTGAGTTTCACCAGAACTACCTCCGCGCTGGATGGAACCCTGTTCGTAGTTGACACCTCTATTTTAAAGACCTTTGCATGTCATCCTGTTTTCTCAACTAAATCATCAATTATTTCAGATAAAGAATGCACTTTATGCGTGTTCAGTCTGCCACGTGGGCGAATCACAATATTGTTTATGCAAAAGCACTCAGATTTAAGTAAGTTAATTAACAAATGGTTAGCGCTACTCTGGTTCCGGCGCTGAGGAATGCTGTTTGGGGCCGTTTTCGCCCGGTTCACAGCCCTCAAGAATGCAGTCATGAGACAATTAGAGAGCAGTGCGAGAAAATCTATAATCAACTCCTTTACGGGGTGAGGTAAAGGCTGCTTGCTGCAAGTGTAGCATCTGTCTGTGGTCTCGTCTGTTGAGGGGAGTAACTGACCTGCCAGTCCTTGTGGGCCACACCCTGGCTGACTCCAGTGGGCCTGCTCTGATGACTGGGATCTGGGGGGTACCCAGGCTCCAGTCAGCTGGCCTCGGCATGTCAAAGTGGAGCCGCTGGAGTCCGGTGGCTTTCGAGACGATAAAACGGGCCCAGCAGAAAGAGGGGTCTCTGGCGTGTGTCCCTCCACTCAAATCCAGCCTCTAATGGGGCACACCTGTCTCGCTGCCCAGCCCTGTGGTCAGCTGGTCCCCGTGAGGTCATCAGCAGTAAGACATCGCTCAGAATCATTCCCCAATCAGTCCTAGGGTCACCAGGTGGCCTAGGGAGAGGTGGAAACTAGTGCTGAAGCTGTCAGGAGGTTGCTGGCGACTCAACACACCCAACCAGGTCAGAGCCGGGCCAACAGCGCCCGAGATCTAGGCCGTCAAACGCAAACTTCAAGCAGAGAGTACCCCACCCCCACCCTCACTGTATTCTGGAACGCGCGGTCCCGGAGCGGCCCTTTTCTGGAAGGCTGTGAGCACAGAAAAGGAATAATAACAAGAGCGGGGCACACTGGGAGCCTCCGCGCCTTGGCGGAGACGCCCGAAAAGCGGACACGCGATGCTTCCTGGGAGTTGAAGTTTAAGGTTTGCCTCCGCGGTGGAAACGAGTCCCGGGAGTTGATCGCTGCATAGAGTCCGAGCGCGGCCTGTTGGACTTTGTAGTCCTCGTACCCTTCGCCACCGGCATTCTTGGGAAACATGGCCACCCAGGAACTACAAGTCCCAGACGCCTGTGCGCGGGGGAGCGGGTGGGCGGGGCTGGAGCTGTGGGTACCACCTCCTCTGCAACGCCGGGGCCGGGAGTCTTAGAACCGAGGGCCCGCAGGGGTCCCCGCGGCCGCTGCGATGCAGAAATACGAGAAACTGGAGAAGATTGGGGAAGGTAATGGAACCACGAGATGTTCCTGCAAGGTCCTTTTCTGAAGACCCTGCTTGCAGTCCCAGCTCCCTTACCGTCAGCTATACTTGCAGGCTCCGACCTCAGCACTGGGCAAAAGCCCTGGCCGCTGAGCCCAACACTCGGTGCAGACACCAACCCTTCTCCCTGTGTTAGCATCTGCGGCAAACTCTTGCTCTTAGCGTTAGCAGTCTCTGTGGACCGATCTTCCTAGCCGCGGCACTTCCTGCATTTCTCACCCCTAGCCTCAACATCACTTGCAACCCTCACCTGGAACCCCTGCTTCAAAATGCAGAACCTCCAACCTTAACATTTTTGCAGGCCTTCACTGCTCTGCTAGATGACTCCTCGCTACTTCCCAACCCCACCCCCCACCCCCTGAGCTTATGGCAGATTCCCCCTGCCTCTGGAGCCTTGAGCTTTTTTAGGCACCTTCGCTTTGGCATCCTCACTCACAAAACTACTCCATACCTAACCTTCACCTGAAAACTTGCCCTTACACACTAAGATGTTGAGAACGATCCTCCCCCTCACCCCCCGACCTTCCCCTAGGCACCTATGGAACTGTGTTCAAGGCCAAAAACCGGGAAACCCATGAGATTGTGGCTCTGAAGCGTGTCAGGCTGGATGATGACGATGAGGTAGGACTGAGGCGTGGGGGGAGGGGTATAAGGCCTATTTTGGGTGGGCTGTGACTACTGTCTCCTTGCATATTGTAGGGTGTGCCAAGTTCAGCCCTCCGGGAGATCTGTCTACTCAAGGAACTGAAGCACAAAAACATTGTTAGGTGAGGTCTGTTGGAAGAGATAGAACCTCCTCAGTAGACTAGGCTGTATTGGGATGCTAGAGGTACTGGGATCTGGCTGAGCCTTTCATTCTCTCTAGGCTTCATGATGTCCTGCATAGTGACAAGAAGCTGACGTTGGTTTTTGAGTTCTGTGATCAGGTGAAAGAGGGGCTGGGGGGCGGGATTAGTAATCATGGGAGGGTATAGGAGTCCAGACTAAGGTTGAACTCTGTCTTCTTCTCCACACCCTCATCTCTATTTAGGACCTGAAGAAATATTTTGACAGCTGCAATGGTGACCTGGACCCTGAGATTGTGAAGGTAAGGGGAGAAGTGTCTAGGGATTCATCTCCTGGGTGTGCCTATACTATCAATACTCCCGAGTAACAGGTTGTGGTCCTGGAGTACCAGAGAAAACCTGTTTCTGCCCTCCAAGGGCTACTAGTCTTGGTGAACATTTTTATGTGATTTCCTTTGACTTGCACAGTATCTGATTTCAGGGATGTCATTTGCACTCAAGAGAGGAGACACATGAGAAATATCTCATGCATTTAACAAATACCAGCCCTGCATAGTAGCACACACTTCTAACTTTAGCACTCAGAAGTCTGAGGCAGGAGGATCTCAAGTTCAAGACCAGCCTGAGCTACATGGCAGGGCCTTGTCTCAAATATCAGGGCAAAAACAAGCAAGAAAAAGGAAAGAAAAGAGGGGATTGGAGAGATGGCAGTTAACACATACTACTCTTGCAGATGATGTGAGTTCAATTCCCAGCACCCACATGAGGTAGCTCACAACCACCTGTAACTCCAGATCCAGGGGATCCAGTACCCACTTTTGGCAACCAAAGGCACCTGCATTCACATGCACATACCACTCCCCCACATACATACATACATAATTTAAAAATAAAGTAAATCTTAAGAGGAAAGAGAGATGGAGTGAGAGAGAGAGGCCAACGAAACAAATATTTGCTGTAGGTTTTGTGTTGTATCAGTCACTGTTCTAGGCCCAAGACCAAGTGCGCTGGCCCAGCTTCCAAGGGAATCGGGTCCTGAGTAGTACTATAGCTTTGTTTTTGTGTTGATGGTCATGGTGTGTGTGCTAAATTGCAGCCTTGTATGGGAGACCAGCATGGACTGGAGATGCAGGAAGGCTCACCAGCCTATCAGTCCAGGAAGTGTGAGGCGCAAGGAAAACTTGGTTACTGTTGTACTGCTGCTACCTAGTGCATGCAAAGCAGATTCTCTAAAGTAACTAGATGAAAGGTTGAAAAGACAGTTCAGTTGTTAAGAGCACTTGCTGCTCTTTCAGAGAATTCTGTTCCCAGTACTCACATTGGGTAGCTCACAACTACCTGTAACTCCAGTTCCAGGAGACCCTACCCCTTCTTTTGGCTTCCACAGGCACACACACAGGCACACACACAGACACACATACACACAGACACAAATACACACACACACACACACACACACACACACACACTAAATTACAGAGTAATTGGATGGACTTCTTGACTTGCCCCAAGTCCTACAGGCTATAGGGCACAGTGGGTCTGACTCCTTCTTCCTTGCTTCTCCCCAGTCATTCCTCTTCCAGCTGCTGAAAGGCCTGGGATTCTGTCACAGCCGGAACGTGCTGCATAGGGACCTGAAGCCCCAGAACCTGCTCATAAACAGGGTATTGCTCTGGGAACAGGGAGCAAGAATACAGAAGCTGGAGTCAGGGATGGGGAGCACTGAGGGAGCAGGATGGGGAGAAGGAAGCTGGAGCCTGCCCTAAACCATTTAAAAGTCTTCTCCATGTCCTCTTTGTGTTATCTCCCCTCAGAATGGGGAGTTGAAATTGGCTGATTTTGGCCTGGCTCGAGCCTTTGGTATCCCAGTCCGCTGCTACTCTGCTGAGGTGAGCCTGGGATGTGGTATATGAGGTTGAAGGGAGGGAGTCCCCCAGTGGCTTCTCTACACCACATTGTTTCCTCTGCTCTCTGAGCCGCCTCCTGGACCTCCTTCCAGCTCTCTAAGTGGGAGGGGGGGGGTCCCTGCGGGTGGGGTCTTCTCCAGGTGGTCACGCTGTGGTACCGCCCACCGGATGTCCTCTTTGGGGCCAAGCTGTACTCCACGTCCATCGACATGTGGTCAGCCGGCTGCATCTTCGCAGGTGACACATTGGGGTTCTGCAGAGGCACTTTCTTTCCCAGCTGGGTTAACAAGTAGGGTCTGGAGGATCTTTTGTGAGGGAAGGGAGAGGGGTTCTTGGGGCTGGGACGGGGAGGCACAGGGGCACCTCAGAATGATGGGTCCTTCATATGCTCTGTTTTGCCCCTGTTTTCTTCTCAGAGCTGGCTAATGCGGGGCGGCCTCTCTTCCCTGGCAACGATGTGGATGACCAGCTGAAGAGGATCTTTCGATATCCTTCCAGGGCCCTTAGTCCACTCTCCTTCACCTCTTTGTAGAAAGGGAATGGGCATGGAGCGTAGAGCAGGCGTGAGAGGTAGCCGTTGCTTACCCTCCATATTGTCCTTGCATGGGGCCACACTGTGGAGAGATGTGGCCTGGTGGTAAGGACGGCACATCTGATGAGGTAATTAGAAGTTGCTCCAGTGGGCCTTAGGATAAAGGAGAAGGAGTTTGTGGAGAAAAAAATGACTGTCTGTTAGGACCACAAGCACCAGGAGTTGGATTTTCCTGGTCCACTGTAAACACCATAAAAATGGGGTTCATCTCAGGCTGGGCTGGGGGATAGAGTAAGATGGTGTGAGAGAAGGGCAGGCAGGAGTGAGGAATCCTCCCCCTTGTCCCTGAGGTGTAGGCGCAACCCTGCCCACAAGTGACCCTTGACCACATGGACACACTGCTAGGAACCCCGACCGAGGAACAGTGGCCCGCCATGACCAAGCTGCCAGACTATAAGGTGTGACTGGCTATGGGAGGTCTTGGTTCATTAGAGGCCCCTTTTGTTTTCTAACTCTATGCTCCATACCTCTGGCCTCACTCTGCCTGGCCCTCCTCTGCAGCCCTACCCAATGTACCCAGCCACAACGTCCTTGGTGAACGTCGTGCCCAAGCTCAATGCCACAGGGAGAGACCTGTTGCAGGTAGGTGCCTAGGGGTAGAAGCAGATGGGGGCGTTTGCCTGCCCAAGAAACTGGGGATTGTGGTGCTTGCTCAGAGGGACAAAAAGATGGTGGCTTGTCCTGGTCTGAGCTCGACCTCTGCCTTTCTTCCCACCCGCAGAACCTATTGAAGTGTAACCCTGTGCAACGCATCTCAGCAGAGGAGGCCTTGCAGCACCCCTACTTCTCTGACTTCTGTCCCCCGTAGGCTCTCTGACCCCTGGTGGCCAGGCTGGGGCCTGGTCTATTTAATCCTCCCTCATAGGAGGGTGGAAAAGTGGGGTGTGGGATACTGAGCACCAGCTGTGCTGGGCCCAGCCAGGGTACAGTTACCCTGGCCCGTGGTTTTCACTCCCTCCATGGACTTTATTTAATTTCATAAATTGGCTCCTTTCCCACAGTCTGCTGATATGGTGGTGGGGTGGCTCTGAAGGGTGGCTGGGGACCCTTGCTCTGACTTACCACCCTCTGTGACCCTGCCTACAGCTTGTGCAACGAGCTGCTCACTGTCTGCTCTGCCTCTTCACATGTCTGAGACTGGGGACAGGAGGCCGTGATCCCCATCCTTTTGATTGTATCGTGGTGGCAGCTCTGTCTCCACATGCAGGCTCACATACTCCTGCACACTTTCCTCTTCTGCTTAGAAAGGCCAGAAACAGTTCTGAGGTCGGACGCCGCTGGCCTGAGTGCAAAGTTGAGCGAGCCTCCACCAGAATGGGGAGAATGGGCTGGGCCTCTCTATGGGGGTCTCCACATTTCTGTATAGAGCCTTCCATCTCTGTTTTCACACTTGGAGTTGTAGGCTGGGGCAGGGGAAACTCAGAGCTGTGTAGGGTCTCTTTCAAAAGAACATCCCTTCTCAGGTCCTGTTTGCCAGTTTCCCAGTGGTTGGGGTACAGTGAAAGAAGGAAGCTGGAGCTGAGGTAGAGGTCCAGTGGTGCCCTCTGGGCAGGAAGGGAAAGGCAGGGCGCTTTCAGTCCCACTGTCTCAAGTAGGCTGTCAGCTCCTGTGGAGAGGTTGGAAAGGCGAGAACTTTCCCATAGCGTGACCTGCGCACACAGGCAGGACAGAGACCTGCTAGTGTAAACCAGCCACCTCCGCCTTCTTGCTGAGCTAGTTAGAACCTCGTTCTGGCTCTACGCTGTTGGTACAGTGACTACCCGCTATGGACCATCACATCTGAGCTCTGGGCATGGAGAGACTGCCTTCTTAGATATTGCTGAGAAGTAGGCCTGGTGGTACAGGTCTGTATTCCAAGCTACCAACAAGCCTGAGGCAGGAGAGTGCAAGGTCAATCTGGACAATCTAGTGAGACTCTGTTTCTAAATAAACAAGATAACAAAAAGGGCTGGGAAGCCAAACATGGTGGTATATGCCTATAATCTCAACATCTGATAGGTGTGGGCAGAAAGATTAGGAGATCAGGATCATCCTTGGCTGCACAGTTCACCCCCATCCTGAAGTATATGAGACCCTGCTTCAGAAGAACAACAGTGTGGGGGTGTATTTCTGTGGGAGAACACTTGCAGAGCAGGAGTCCTCCAGACCCTGGGCTCAGTCCCCATTACTCAAAAAAAAAAAAAAAAAAAAAAAATTAAAATGGGTTTGATAAGCTCGTTAACACGAAGGTGCAATTGATTGATCTTCTTTTAAAATTGTCCTTCCCCCCCACCAGAGAGTTGTAAAGCCTAACTGGGGACCAAGTCCCAACTTGATAGTGGATGGAGGTGGGAGGCTGGCATTGACTCTGCTGATGTCTGGTCTGTAAGGCAAACACCTGAGGCACATGCACTAGAGCTTTATTAGGGCGAAGACAGCAAAGATGTACAGGCTGGACATGCCCAGGATGTCACGGTGCAGCCGAGTGGTCACAGCAGGTCTAGAGCCTTGTGACGAGGTAACAGGTCCGGTGGGAGGCAGAAAGTGTCTTGGTGACAGCACAGGGAGTGGTGGCAGGCCTGTGGGACAAGCCACAGCGCTGGGGCAGGGACCTTCCACCTCTTCTGCCCTAGAGGGACCTGAATGTCCTCTTGACCTGTCCCTTGACCTTACGGGGCACGCCTCATATTACCTGGGGCCCAGGCTGAGGTGGGGAACGTGTGTTCGATGGCCATTCAACCCTTCCTGAAGCTGTGGGAAAAGGGAGAAGGTGGAGACCAGCCAAGATGGCCGCACATAGCTCCTGGACCAGATGATGCTAGGGGTGGGGGAGGGCAAGGGGACTACTACCAGAGTACTGCCAGAGCGTCTTTGAGAGCTCCTTCTGTTCCAGAAATACCCCAGGACTCTGTCTCGGAAAACCTGGGGGCAAGTGGCAGGAGTAGGTGGTCAACATCCACCTCCCTGGACACTGGTGGCCCAATTCCTCCCCATCATGTCTGGGGTTTTGTCCCACCTCACAGAGGTAGTCAAGGATCTCGAGGATGGTAAGCAGGCTGGCTCCAATAAACAGTCCCATCTGTCCGCCAATGTCTCCTGTAGAGGCAGAATGCTGTCAGCTCACAGTCACCTGCCCTATCCACACCTCTGCAGACCCAGGCACTCCATACACACCCAGCAGCTCCGACACTTCATAGGCAGCCTTCTGCTCCACTGTCTCATAGTTGAGGGCCTCAAAGAAGATGTCCAGAACCAGAACGTTCTCCCTGGAGGAAAAGAAGCCCCAATTGCTTGCTGGACACCACCTGGCGCCAGCTGGAAGTAGGTGTGGATGGGTGCTCTGGCCCCTTTCAAGAACCTTGGGTTATTCTCATCTCCCAAGTCAGAAAGTTTAAGCAGCTTGCCCAGAGTCCCAGAACCGATTATGATGTGGAGATGAATCCATCCTGGGCTGTGTGCAGGGCTCCTGCTCCGAGGCCCCCACCCCCACCCCGCCCCGTCTCAGGCACAGTGCCTCCAGTCTTGCTACCGTTCCTCGCTCACGCGATATAGGTCTCGCTGCGGTTGTATTTCTGGGCCAGGTAGCGAGCTGAAGCGCGGCTAGGAATCCGCACCATGGAGAGCTCCTTGGCGTAGCGCGTGATGGCGCACGGATTGGGACAGACACACGTGTCCTTTCGCAGCATGGCATCTGCAGGCAGGCCGCAAAGCAGGGATCAGGACCACTCGGCCAGAGGGTTGGGATCAACAGCCGAGTGGATGGGGACAGGGAGGCTGAAGGGTGGTGCCCTTACCCAGAGCTGGGCTGGCACAGTCCTTGTACTGCTGGGGGCTGCACACTGGCGAGTTTCCTAGGATAGAAGATGAGAACGGAGCCCGAGAGCGCCCCCTAGGGTACCCCCATTCCCTACTCCCAACAGACCCCTGCCCCTTACCAGGCATATGCATCATTCGACATCCACACTTCCGAGCCACATAGCGGGTCTCACAGGCCAGACGACACCCTATTAAACTATAAGGAGGGCTGGGGCTTGGGTTAGGGGAACCCAGGGGATCAGAGGGCTCTGGATCAAAGTCGGGATCCACAGATGCAGTATTGCAGTCACCCCAGGGTGGTGGCAGGAAGCTCAGCTGTGGAGGGGGGGACAAGGTTGAGGAGACTGGGTTAAGAGAGGTTGCTGGGGTGAGGGCCCCAGGAACAAGCTGAGGCACTGTGGCTTGGGGTCTGAGGGTCTTCTGAGGAGGTAGGAGTTTGGGGAGGGTGGGAGGCACAGGCAGTTGAACCAACATACTTGCTGCTGCTGGCAGGACACAAAAGTCTGGTGGCCTGGGGCTGCCCCGAAGCCCAGCTGGTCAATGGCAGGGGGCTCCTCCTGGCTGTGGATCTGCACTCGGATCCCCACCTCAAACGGGGTCTCTTCTGCAGGGAGGGGCCTTTAAGGCCCCAGACACTCCACTCCCAGGAGAGACTCACTTGGCAGTCCCTCTCCTCAGGATTTGGAAGAGCCAGCCCTGCCTCTTCTCACAAGAAGATGTGCTTTGGGGCTCCTCCCTACACACCTGCCTCCTCTCCTTCCCATGGTCTCTGTGATTTCCCAGCCTCATGCATACCTCCACCCTCATCCCTCCTCACAGGCAAATGACCCTGTGCCCCTCACCCATGTCCTTCCAGATGGGCAGATACTCCTCCTGCTGTACATCCAACATAATCTCCAACCCATTGCCAGCGCCACCCTTTGGAGTGGTGAGCAGCTCTGCCCCGTGGAGGCCGGAGTTGAAGGTATAGCACTGCCCCATTCGAGTGAAGATCTGGGGGCAGAAAGGGACAGCCCCTCTCTTAACAAGCCCCTGGGCATGAGCGAACTCCCCTCCTTCAGTCCCTTCTCTTCATTTTTGCTGTTGGGTTTTTTTTTCTTGGGAGGGGGGTGTGTAGCCTGGGCTTGTCTGGTGCTTGCTATGTAGCTGAGATGGTCTCAAATTCCTGATTCTCCTGCCTCCAAATACCAGTGCTGGGATTACAGGCATGAATCATCATACCCAGGGACAAAAAATCCTTGGATGGATCCCCCCACCCAATGTGTTACCTAAGTACCTGGGGCAGGGGTGGGGTGGGGGGTGGGAACTGGACCTAGGTTACTAAATCTAGGTGACCTAGCTGAATTTCCACCTGTCCTATCTTCTTAGGAGTCTTGTTTTTTTCCTTCTCTCTTTCTCTTTCTCTTTTTCTTTTCTTTCTTTCTTTCTTTCTTTCTTTCTTTCTCTCTCTCTTTCTTTCTTTTTTTTTAAAGACACATTCTCTCTATGTAGTCCTGGAACTTGCTTTGTTATATGGATGAGGCTGGCCTGGAACTCAGGGCTCCTCCTGCCTCTGCTTCCCAGGTTCTGGGATTAAAGGTGTGCACTACCATACTTGTTTTGGACTTTTTGATACCGGGTCTCCTGCAGTTCGCCCACCGTCCTTGAAAGAACTCTGAAGTCCACATCTCAATGCCCTTAGCCTCACATATAGATATGCGAAGTGAGGAAACCTCCTCCTCCAACTCCCCTGCCTCTCACCAAAGCCCTGGACGCAGCCCACAGGGGTAATTGGAACAAGAGGGAATGGATCTATTATTGCCCTGCCTTGGGTGGCAAAACTTGGATGAGACACAGGAAAATCCTCTCCTAGCAGATGGGGGCCCCAGAATAGTCCCAGGGTATTGCATTTTACCCTAGGGGCAGTGTCTCCACCAGCTAGCCCTTGGCCCTGCAGCCTGCTTGGGTCGGTGTCCTTGCTGGGAGGCATGGCCAGGTGCACAAATGTCTAAGTGTGAGATGGAGAGAACCTCCAGATGCCACTTCCTAGACTAGACAGAATGACTTGGGGGATGGAGAGCCTGTGGCTGGCAGGAGGGAAGGAATACCCAGGCAAGGGGTGTTGAGGTTCCCTGTTTTGGGGGACTCTTGGGCTGACAAGGCTGAAGATTGTAGACACTGAGTCTTAGGGCAGCCGGCTCACCACAGTGAAGTTCTCAGGCCCACAGGGCTGGCCACGGTAGCGGCAGTCCAGCAACATGTCCTCAAGGGAGTGGCCGGCTCTGGCGTAGAGTTGTGCCATGTCGAAGGTGGGACTGGGCATGAAGCCAGGCGGTGCAGGGGGCTGGCCCAGGGCACGAAGGTAGGCAGCATGTTCAGCAGGGTCCAGGCCCAGCAGCGCTGTCCCAGCCCAATGCAAGTCGTTGGGTGTGAGGCGTGAGCGGCGCAGCGGATTGATGTTACACAGGGTGACAGCTGGGAAGGTGAGCTGGTGGCTCTCCCGCTCATCTAGGGTGGTCTTGTGGTGGAACTCCCCATAGTAGCGCACCCGCTCAGCCACTTGGTAGAGGAAGGCCGCCAGTGACAGGAGCACAGCTGTGGCCCAAAGCCCACGGCGCAGGGTCGGGCCTCCAGGGCCAAAGATGTGGCCCAGACCATGCATTGTGCAGCTGCTGGCGAACACCCGGATGTCTGAGGCCTGCCGCCGCCGCCGGGCCTCCTCCAGTCCTGAGGGGGGTTTCATGGCTAGAGCCCAGAGAAGGGACTGTTGACTGGGTACAGGGCGTCCAAGGAGTGACAGAGGCTGTTTTTGTAGGACTAATGGGGGATTGAGATGGGATTCGGGTGGCCCAGCAGGGACTAGGGAGGAGAGAAAAGGAGAAGGTAGAAAAGGAGAAGGTAGAGAGGGGAGGAGCCAAGACGGAGAGGTGAAAGTACTGGCCTGGTAGGACTGGATGAGATGAACGTCGTCGTCGGTCCAGCTCTGCCTTCCCCAGAACCGGCGTTGGCTCCGTGAGGTTGGGGCTCTGCAGTAAAGACCAGGTAGGGCGCAGGAGGTAGTGGCAGGCAGGGGCTGCAGAGCAGGACTGAGCTGAAGCGGCTGCAGAGGATTAGGTTTCAGCATGAGGGGGGTTGGGGGGCCAGCAGAGCAGCCTGGGGGGGCAGGGAAGGTCCCTGGGGCCCCAGGCTGAGCCATTAGTGCAGCATGGGGGGAGTCTCTGCTGTCAGAGACCAGAGGCGCCAGGAGGAAACCGCAGCAGCCCTGGGTAGGGCTTGAAGGAAGCCCAGATATACATTGGGGTTGGGGATGCCTTTGGGGCCCTTTAGGCTCCCAGTCACAGCCCCTGAATGCCAGCCCTGAGGGGTAAGTGCTAATCCTTGGTCCAGCCGCTCTCTCCTTTGGCCTCTCCTGCCCTTCCATGAGCTCACCTGGCATCATTTGTTCGTTTGCAGAGTAGACCTGGCTCTTGACCAAGCTAGAGAGTGGTGGGAGGTTTGGCACAGGCAGGTCTTCTCTTCCTCGGCCCCCAGCATCCTAGCAACATTACAGGACCAGGGCCCTCTTCAGATTCCATATCCAATGGCCTTCTGTGTTCTGAGTGTACCCCTCTGCCTGGTGACCCAGACCCTACCTCCTCATTCTCGGGCCCTCCTGTTGGTGAGGCTCTCTTCCTCCACAATGACTATGGGCTCTCCTGCTACCCCCAGGGTACCAGGGTACCCTGTGACTTTACACCTTTCTCTCTTGATGAACAGATCTAGGGATCTCCAGCACCTGGAAAGCGTCCTCATTTCTGAAAGTGGTCCTAGGTCGTCATGTGGAAGCGATGTCTTCTCTGATGACCACTGAGGATTCCAGCCTTTCAATTCTAGCTTTGCTATCAATGTCATAAACACCCTGAAACCGAGTTTCTGGGTTGAGGCCACTGCCTTACTAATTTGATAGATGTGACCAGGTCCCCCCACCCCCACCCTAATAGCAGTTACACCGGTTTGCACTCCCATTAGCCTTGGTCAGGGAGTACGCCTGGAGGGTATTCCAGGACCTTGAATCATCTCCCAGCGCCCTGCCATAGGGCAAAGGCAGCATGGGATCCAAGGCATGGAGCTGCTTCCAGGAATTCAGAAGGGAAGATGAGGGTAGAGCTGCAGGGGTGGGGTGTGTGTGCTGCTGCAGGGGTGGGGTGCGTGTGCAGGGGTGGAGTGTGTGTGCTGCTGCAGGGGTGGGGTGCATGTGCTCCCAGAGCTGGAGGAGCCATGCACAAGCTCAGTGCTAGAGGGCTTGGAGGAGCACAAGGAACTCAGATATGAGGGGCCAGTAGCCCAAGGGCATCTGAACAGGGGACTGCAAGGCCTGGTTCTTGTCACTGTCATGTCCACTATTTACAGTTTCCTCTAATGTTTTACTTATTGTTTATTGGGTGTGTGTGTGTCACAATGTGTGGAGGTGAGAGGATAACCTGTGGGAGTTGCTCATCCACCCCATGAGTCTTGGGGGATTGAACTCAGGTCCTTAGGTTTGGTGGCAGGTGTTTCTCCTTGGCCCCAGAATTGTATTTGTATTGTGTCTTTGAAAAGTACTGGAGACCAGGTTCCTTCTGGTGGCTTCTGGCCTTGAGTGGTGGGGGCACAGTTCCACCACCCAATCAGTCACAGTGTACTGCCTCTGACTGTATGTACACTGGTCCTAGCAAGCACTCAGGGCTCACAGTCTCAGAAACTGTCCCAAGCTTGGTGGCATAGGCTAGGCATAGATGTGACCACCTTCTGGGGTTACAGCACTGTGGTCTTAAAGGACGTCCTTACAAAGTGTCCCACTTAATTCTTGGAAGAGGCTTTCAAGAGCAAGCCCAGATAAGCTGCTGGTCTCTACTAGGGAGCTGGCAGAGCCAGGCCAGGGTGACAGGTAGGGTCACCAGCCAGTGGCCACCGTCAGGGGGCTGAGAATCACACCAACCGATGTATACACTGCCAGCCGGGTGACCATGCATGATGTTGGGCACACTTGGTTGGCTGACTGCTCGGTGAGGGAGATTTTATGTCCCACCTGGACCAAGGGTAGGGCCAGACAGAGGCGTTGCTATGGAAAGCAGAGGCTTTGCTCTAAGCTGCACTTGGTAGAGGTGGGGGGGGGGGCACAGTGGCCAGACAACTGAAGCTACCCAGAATTCAGCTTCCAGGGCTGTCACTACAGATACTAAATCAGGGCACTCTGGACTAGAGTTCTTGGGTTCCTTGTCCTCACAGCAGGGTGTAGTCCTGACCACAAGTCCCACTTCAGCTTCTGCACTCACCCCAGCCACTGTTTCCTACACTGGCCTCCAATAGCAGCTGTTTCTTGCATTATGTGCCCATCACTCCTGAAAGACTATAATCCTTTGCCACATGAAAAGTACAAACTGCTTGTCTGGCCATGGAGTTATAGCACCTCTCCCTGCCTGGTTTGCTGGTCTGCACAGAGTTCTACAACCTGGATGTGGTTGGCCAGGGATGGCCTCTCAGTGGGAAGTGACCTACAGACCACAGCTAGGGGCCATCACCCTTTGGGGGTAAGTGGGGTGGACTGATACATCCGCAGCAGCATAGGACAGTCCTGACTGCTCCGGGAGCATCAGCACATTCTAAGGGTCCTTTGCATGCTTCCCTTGACACCTGAGAAGACAATGGAGGCCCCAGCTTGCCTCAATTACAGCTTTGGGGCCACAGGCTCATGTCATTCAGGCTGTCTGCTTACCCCCTTTCAAGATAAGGCCACCATCCCACCATTTCCATGATCCTTATGAACCTCATATTGTATTGTGTATAACTGTGCCTTCCACCTCTGGGGTGGGCTCTCACAAAGGCCATGCCAGCCTCAAACTCTCTATGTAGCCAAAGATGACCTCTAACTGATCAACCCACCTCTATCTCCCATCTGCTGGGATGACAGAGGTGCTCCACCACGCCTGGTTTGGCACTATGCCCGTATCTGAATGTTCTGGGTGGACACATGGCCTAGTCTCAGTCTCTTCAAGGTCTTTTCTTCAACTTTATAGTCTCACCAGGTCAGATTTGAAGCACACAGGGAACAGCCGGGTAGGCTGAATGCTTCTTGTAAATGGACTGCTACCACTTCATCCTGCTGGAGACCAGGACTGTGGCTGTGTGGAGGATGGGCCAAGAGACACAGTGGGGATGCAAGGGTAAGGCTAGGGATGTGTGGTCCTACTTAGGGTGGGGCGGAGCCTAGGTCTGAGGTCCTGGGTTACTCCCCAATCCTGGGTTTTATTATTTTAGTTGCAGTTCTAAGGATCAAATCTAGGCCCCTCACATGTGCCAGGTACTCTGCTAATGAGCTACAGCCTCAGCCTCCTTTAAAAATTTCTTTTATTATATTTATTCATTTAGGGTTTTTTTTGAGATAGGGTCTATGTAGCCCAGGATGGCCTTGAACCCCTTGATCCTCCTACTTCAGTCTCCCAAGTGCCTGGATTACAGCCCATTGACTAGGCCTGGCCAGACCATGAATTTTCAGTCCCCTGGAGTGAGGGCCTGAATAACCTTAGTGTTGTGGAGAACTGGGTCAGAGGGAAAGGGTCAATCAGAGGTGCCTCAGGGACTTGCCTCATCATGTACATCCCAGTAACCACAGAGCTGAGGCAGGACGGCAGAAGCAGGTGGGCGGAAAGCCGCCTTCCCGGCCCAGCTGCCAGGCCCAGTTACTTTAAGGGAGCAGGAGTGCAGGCTACATCCCCGCACACTGGCTCTTCAGGGGCTCTGTCCCCAGCCGAGCTCCAGCGCCAGACTGATTCTTGGCAGTGACCTGACCCCAGGGGGTCTCTCAGGCTTTCCACTGGTGGCTGCTGGGGTCTTCAGGCTTCTCTGCAGTTGGGGTCGAGGTCAGTGGGGCATCCAGGGCTTGTCTCCAGATAAGCTCTGCATACAGCCCACCCTTTTTGAGAAGTTCTTCGTGGGTCCCAGCCTGGAGACAGAAAGAGGGTCATTCAACAGAGCTAAACTTTGAGCCCCAGCCCCCACCACCTGTTAGGCTCACAGCCACTTAAGCTGATGCCCCATTTAGAGACACTTGACAACTCTGGGCTCATTTTAAACAAAACACCTTGGGCACAGCTTTATTGGTCAATGCCACCTCCTGCTCAGTTGATGTCTCTTCTTCAGCTTGGGGCTGTGAGATAGACATCCATGTGCTCTGAGGTTCTGCCCCTGACTGCTCCCATAAAAGTCCCTGACACAAAGCTGGATGGTAGTGGTGTACACCGGTAATTTCAGCAACAGAAGGCAGAGGCAGGCAGATATCTATGAGTTCAAGGCCAGCCTGGTCTACAGAGGGAGTTCCAGAAAGCCAGGGCTACACAGAAAAACCTGTATAGGTTTCTCGAAAAACAAAAAAAACAAATAAATAAAAAAGTCCCTGATGCAGTATCTGAGCCCCTGGGTGGCAAGCTCTGCCTCAGACTTTTCATTAACACCATCCACATCCTCTGGTCCTGGGAGCCTGCAGCTCACCTCTCCCAGAGGTCAGAGCTTATCTGAGGACAGGAAGACCTTGGTCTGTTGGGATGTTGTTCCCAGAACATGACCTCAAGCACCTGGAGCCAAGCCAGGTGCGCATATAGCTTAGCTAGGCCACCTGAGCCCCTGCCCACTCCCAGCCCGACTGACCTCACAGACTTGGCCATTGGCCATGACGACGATGCAGTGCGCTGCACGGACAGTACTGAGCCGGTGGGCAATGACTAACACGGTGCGACCAGCACTGGCACGGTCCAGTGCCTCCTGTACCACCCTTTCAGACTCTGCATCTAGTGCACTGGTGGCCTCATCCAGGATCAACACAGTGGGCTGCTTGATGAGGGCACGTGCGATGGCTAGGCGTTGCTTCTGGCCACCAGACAAGGTTGTGCCCCGCTCACCTACGGAAAGAGGGGACAGGATCTGAAGTGACCCTCAGCTCCACCCTTGGAGGTGGTAGGCCATGGGCCCTGGATACTTATGAGCTTCCATCAGGCTCCTCTAAGGACTCCACCCCTACCCCATGTGCATATTTGTCAGTCTGAGTGCTCCAGCATAATAATGCACATAATATAATAACGCACATGAAACACAAGTGTCTTGTATGAGTGTCCCTTCCTCGGTGGGTCTCAGATCTGGGTGGGCAGTTCCCACCAGGTGCCCACAGCAACAATGATTCCTGGATCCTGGCCTCAGCTGTAGTAAGACCATTTGGTAACCAGGCATGGGCAGCACAACACAAAGATGTTAAACACAGAGGCACCTGACATCCTGGGAGCCACATATAACCTCAAGAGACTGCAAAGTGATGGCAGGATCACAGGTCAGTAAGGGGAGCAGTCCTGGGAAGCCCAACAGCAAGGGACACTGGAATTTAAAGTACAGGAAGTACCAACTGGGAGAGACGACAAGGGCCTCCCACCAGAATAGCACAGAGCCCTGAGCATGTACGCACAGCTATGTTAGGACCTGAAGGGACTGCTAGAGACTGGCACAGCCTGAGAGGTCCCAGTCAGTTAGCTGAGAAGCCTCGAGAGGTAATGGAACATTCTGAAGCACAGTCAAGTTGCTGGATAGTCCATCTCCTCTATATGATACACACAGCCCCTAAGATGGACAGAAGAGCTGTGGGGGCGACCATCTAAGGCTCAGGTTGTCACAGGCACGAGCTGGTGTGCCGATGTATGTTCTAGCACCCTGACACAGGGAGGCCTGCACAAGACGCCAGCCTGTTGTGCTGAGAGATGCCACCGAAGTGCAAGAGAACTGGGGTGTCCTGGGAACCAAAAGAATAGGGACAGTTTAGAAAGGAGCCCTATTTCCTGTCTGGGACTATGGTAGGCCCCAGAGTGGACAAGTCCCTTGTGCCTGTGGCCAGGGTTCTCCCATTTGCATTGTTATATCCTGTCTCCTCTCAGAGCCCTATCTAGTCTGTTATGTCTGAGCGACATGGACTGGAGCTCTTCTGTCCCCAAAGAGCCATCTTTGTCCCCTCAGCCACAGTCTGGTCTTTCCTGGTGTGACTCTCCTCGAGCTGTCCCTCAGGAGTCACACTGAATTGCTCATTGCCTGTAGAACCCTGGCCCCTGAGCCCCACCACTGCCCTGCTGACCCAGCAGCTTCCCGCCAAGAGACCCACCAACTATGGTGCTGTAGCCATCAGGGAAGCTGCTGATGAACTCGTGGGCATTGGCTTCTCGTGCAGCTCTATACACCTCTTCGTCAGAGGCCTCCAGCTTTCCGAATCGGATATTCTCCATGATTGTTGTTCCAAACAGGACCGGCTCCTTGCATGGTTGAGGGGCATGGGAACACATAGAGACGGTGTTTACAGACCATACTCTGAGTTCACTCTCAGAATTTGGGGACTGCCATGTGTACCAGGGACCTATTTTAGAAGACCCCAACTGCAGGGAGGGTCCGAAGTTCAAAGCCAGATGCTAACCATGTGAGGATAGGGTTGCTCATTAAAAGGAAATGAAGGCCCTTCCCACAGGGGACACAGACTCCCTCACCAAAGGTGATGACGGACAGGCCCTATAACATGATAGGGGCCGTTTGAGTTCTGGTCTCTTCCTGCATGTGGGCAGCTGTCCCTCCCCTAGTGGTGTGCTGGCTTTATCTCTAGCCCACAGAGAAAAGATGGTCCCTTGTCGGGCTTGGTGGGTGGTAGCTGCTGGCAGTGTTAGTGCCCCTGCTTTGGGATCCTAAGACTGCAGCCCACAGAAGCTGTGTCCGTGCTCTGGAGTATAAGGACAGAACTGCGTCTGTCTGGGAGAGAGACATCCTGGACCCAGAGGATGGCTAGTAACCATTTAGGCTACAGATATCCTCAGAGGATCCGGGAGATACGTAGTAGAGAAGAAAGAAAAGGGGCCCAGGCTTGCTGCTCAGACCCTGCCAGCCTCTGCCCTTCACCTGGCTGATGAAACCTATGACCTGGCCCCGGAGCCAGGAGGGGTTGAGAGTACGCAGGTCATGCCCATCCAGTGTCACCATGCCAGCTGTGGGGTCATAGAAGCGCTCCAGCAGGGAAGCCACCGTGGTCTTTCCTGGAGGAGGGGGAGGTTGGAGGTGTGGGGAGAGGAGAGAGGGTTTTGGAGACTCTCTCAGCAAAGAGGGACCCTTGTAGCAATGGAGGATACCCCATCCCAGGTAGGAGCAGTCATCAATAAGGGCTTGCTACCATCTGTGCTCCAAGCGGCTACCAAAACATGAACCAGAGGATGGGAGATGATGAAGTTCCTCTTACCTCCCCCAGACTGGCCCACAAGGGCCACAATCTTGCCAGGTGGTAGCGTCAGGGTGAAGTCCTTGAGCACCTCAAAGCCAGGGCGGCAGGGGTAGCTGGGGTGGTCAAGAGAGCCCCAATCAGACCAGGTTCCTGGACCTTACTTCCCTCCTAAGTCCCCCAACAGGGGCTTGTTTACAGGAGCATTCAGTTAGAATGCTTCCTGACTTCCTCTCATCCTCAGCCCAAAAGAGTCCACTTCTCAGCCTACCCACCAATACTGACCTGAAGCTGACATTGTGGAAGGTGATGGAGCCATGAAGGTCCTTGCTAGGGATGCAGCTGCCCCCCGTCAATGGGATGCCGGGGCTCAGGGCCATGTACTCAAAGACTCGGGCACCTGAGCTCATCCCACGTACCACCTGCAGAGGGAATCCAGTTTGTGTTTGAGATTAGAAACTGGGGCTCCTGGTACTGGATAGGGCTGTGGTGTGTCCAGAGCTCTCACAGCAACACACACACACACACACACACACACACACACACACACACACACACACACACCATCTTGGGACAATCTCACTTACCTGACCAAACAGGACAGAGAGGCTGGCCATAGACCTGCCAGGAGAGAGAGAGAGAGATAGGAGAGGTATTAACAAGGGCCGGAGAGAAGGGAAAGGTTGTGATAGGAGAGACAAGGACATAGGGCTAGTGCAGAGAAGGCCCCAATATCTTATGGCTACAGGAGCCCTGCGACACCACATCACTAAGCTTCTCTTCCCTCTCTAGTTATAAGATAACAGCACTCTGCTGCCTAAGCCAGGATCTGGAGGGTGCTCTAGGAGGCAGTGGATGTGGGGTGAATGCCTGGGACTCAATGGTATGCCCACATGCTTCCCAGGCCTTCAGTATGCAGGGTGAAGATGGCCCACAGCATCAGGGAGGCCATCAGTCCACCAGAAGGGATATAACGGATCCCATGACCTCTACCTGACCTGCC